CCCCTCCCCTCCTCTCTCTCTCTCTCTCTCTCTCTCTCATAGTTTATTTCTTTGAAAAAAAAATCGTTTTTTTGAATCTCCGGTTCATATTGTTTCATCATCTTCAGCTGCCTTAACAACACATTTATATTTTTAATATATATTTTTTAAAAATCTTGAGTGAATATATAATTTATGGAATATTTTAAATGTTTAATAAATAAAAAATAAAAATTTAAATTTAAATATGTATTGATGTGAGTAATATATAATAAAATTATATTTGAAAAGTTCATTAAATATTATATAATAAACTTATCTTTCTAATATTTCAAATATTTATTCAAGAATAAATAAATATATTTTGTTTTAAATATAAATAAATAAATAAAACAAAATAAATGAATGTATCTAATCTTAAAAAATTCATATGACCTAGATATATGATAAATATAAAATATAATCATATAAATAAATAATTATAAAATAATTTTTTAAAATAAAGAAATAAAACATCACATTATAGAAGGCATAAATCATGTTAATTTCTTACTATCTCATGTTGGTAATCTTCTAATTTTATATAATATCATGGGATATTTTGAAATTAAAAAAATAATATCAGAATCTTATAATATTAATTTATTAATATTATCTTGAGATAACAATGATTTAAAAATGATTTAAAAATATTAAATTATATTTAAAATATGTGTTGGATTTTTACACATTTTAAATGTGTTAGCAAATGCACCGTTCATCTCCGTCTATCCGTCAGTCTCTGTATCCGTCAGTCGTTGGATTTGTGCGTCTGTTCAAAAGGAAAGCAAACATCTTTGTTTATTTCTTCCCAAAAGGAGAAAACGAAAGTTGGATTCATTTTTAGTCTGCAAAGCTTCTCTTTATCTGTATTCGATCTTTGCAATATACCAAACCCTACTGTTGCAGTTCGGGAGTTCCTTTCTTGTGATCCCTCGAGGCCTCCTCCTTTTCTCCGGTTCTCCTCCTCCTCTCTCTCTCTCTCTCTTATTGATACTTTCTGAGCTCTACTTATAGTTTCAGTCGTCTTTGAAGATCTCCTTGGTACCTTAATTTTCAGAGAGTTCCAGCATTAAAGCAGCTGTTCCGAAGTAGTCCGCCGCGGTTTTCTCTCTCTAAAAATTGTTCTTTATACGCCACTTTCCTTGACCGTCTTTGATCGTCTAGGTTTGCTGCTTTTCCTCCGATGAATCGGCACTAGACGCATAAAAGCTGGAGTTTTTGAGATCGGAACCTCGCTGCGAGGGAGATCTAACAGAGGCAGAGTGGGAGATAGAGGGCAGAGGGTGAGAGGAGAGAGAGGTGGAGAGGGATCAAGACCTAGTGTTTCTTTAAGGTCTTAACTTTCTTCCAAGATCGTTTCTTTGTGGTGTAATGAGGTCGGAGGCTCGGCTGGATTCCGCGGTCTTCCAACTCACGCCTACTCGAACCAGGTAAATTTCCAGATCCTTCCGATGCAATTGTTTCTTGTTCAAGGGTCCGATGAAGATGATGAATGAAGAGTCTCAGATGTTTCCAGATCAAAAAAAGTTCAGAACTTGAGAGGCTTTATGGTGATTTAGAGTGATATGCCCGTAACATCGGATTTTAAGTTGATAAAATCTCTCTGGAATTCTGGTTTGCTGAGCTCAAAAAAGGAAATAAAAATAAGAAAATTCTGCATGCTATTAACGGTGACTTTGGGAGCATGAATATAGTCAGTGATGTACTGGTGGGAATCCTTGTTTGGTATTCGGAATGGTCAAAGTCGTTATTTCATTTAATCCAAAGCAATATGCGTTGGGATATTCTCGACGGAATTGCAATTCATGTTATCCTGCATAGTTACTTGATGTGATGATAAGATTTTTGGTTTAGGTAGTAATTGGAATTATTGTTGCTTTTTCCAAATACCAGGCTTTGTGATGAATACGATGTCACTTGGATTGTTACTGATCCACCTCTGTTTCTATCCTCCATGTAGATCATTGCTTGCAGAATATAGTGCTTGATTGAATTCATTTCTGCGTTTTTATTTTGCTATGACCATGGATATTGGCAACAATATTCTTGTGGTTTTGGCGAATCATTTCCAAATACCTGTGCCTGAGCGAATCATTTAAGGTGGTTTTGGCGGAATTCCTATAGGTCGATGAGTATTCTTGTTCATTATGGGAACTGCTATTCTTTTTTAACAGGTGTGATTTGATAATCATAGCAAATGGCAAGACAGAGAAGATTGCGTCTGGCTTGTTGAATCCTTTTCTTGCCCATTTGAAGACTGCCCAGGATCAGATTGCCAAGGGTGGCTATTCCATAATCCTTGAACCAGACCCAGAAACCGATGCAGCGTGGTTCACCAAGGGAACCGTAGAGAGGTAAGAAAAGGATCTCTCAAGTGAGCAATGCCACATCGAAATGTCTTAGTGCAACTGCTGTTCTTCAAACATTACAATATTACCTTCTCATTGAGCTAGTTGTATCTTATCATCTTGGAGAAACTTTTGGCATGCGGTCAAACTTTAATGCCTGATTTAATAACTAATATTAATAATAACAGGTTTGTTCGTTTTGTGAGCACACCTGAGGTCCTAGAGCGTGTGACGACCATTGAGTCTGAGATCTTGCAGATTGAGAATGCCATTGCCATTCAGGGGAATGATAATCTTGGCTTGAGCACTGTAGGTAGCCGAATTACTCATTTATTGTTTGTAAAATTCAAATGACAACGTTTTTATATGGCATCTGGCAGGTGGAAGACTGCCAAACAAAGTCATCAGAAACTACAGAAGGTAGTTTTTACATTGACCTAATTACTTTATCTAGTTTTGTATTAATCCTTAGGAAAAATCCTAATGGTTTCAAGCATCTTTTTGCACACAAATGATTGTGACTTGTATCCAATTTTCCAATATATCTAAAATAATCTTCTCAACACAAGCTGACTGGTCACCCAGTCATCTTCTGAGGAGGAACAGAATCCTTTCTGTTCCAGCAGGAAACCTTTTGTCAATCACACAAAGTATGTGAATCACATTGAAAAAAAAATCAATTTAAATTGCTAACAGTTATTTTACCTGTAATGAAGTCTGTTATGGCTTTTCTAGGGCCATTGATCTCCTGACCTCCTGATCAAAGTTAATTGTTCCTTTTTAGCAAATATGGGAATAACTTGTTAAGGAACCTCGTGTCATGCACCATGCTAGTTGCCTTTTCCATTGAACTTTCAAAGATTAGCTACTTAGGTGTATCTAATTGGCTTCAATCATCCATATGCATGCCATGAATTCTTTATATTTCAATGTTGATTTCAAATTCTGTCCACTAATTACACCCTTGGCTGGTCTGACTTTGTATCATTGTTTGCTTATGGCAGGTACCAAGCCCTCCGGTGGTCCTGATGTAGGAAAGGCAATAGTTCTTTTTAAGGTATTGATTTGATTTATTTATCATACAAAATAAACATACAAATATTTATATATACACACGAAACATGTGAAGCACCAATATGAACACAAATATGGAATGCCAATATGACACAGCAGTTGCATGCCGATACATCAAACATTGATAAGATAGGCCAGGGTGCAACACAAATATGATAAGATTGACATATTATGTTGAAGTTTGACATTAAATTAATAACTAAAATATGTAAAAGATTTTGATAAGCAATTACTTTGCTGGCACCTTTTGTCTGTTCATCATAAAAGAAATTTTCATTGGTAACTTAATACTAGAATAATGTATAGAAGACAAAAAAAATTATGATCAATGAAAAAAATAATTGTATTAATATTGTTCTCATAATCTAATGCTAAAAGATACAAATGGCGTATATGATTGTCTAAAATGAATGTTTTGTCTAGAATGGATGTTCTTATTGAGTATTATCACATGATCAACACTCATAGGAAAAGTCCTGCCGAATGTCTCTTTTCTTAATGAATATCTGATAGGCATCTCTTAAGCATCCTAAAATTATCCAATTCTTGAATAAATAATAATTTGAAACAAAAAAAAAGAACTTCAAAAATGTATCTGACATTTAAAGAAGAAGTATTCTGCAATTCAGTCTTTCACCCATATCACATTTGGTACAGTGGGATTCCAAGTAACTGTTTTCCATGTGGGCACATATAACATATAGCTACACATGCACATATTTATATGCATACATATTTGTCTCTCAGATGTTCTAAATGTGTTTTCTCCCTATTTTTTGGCAGCCTGCTTCACAACCAAATCCACTAGATTCTAATGGTTCCCCCACACAGGAGGAGAATTCAAAGTATGAGCAACTTAATATGTTCTCAACTTTTTTTCCCTATAATTAGTTCTTCTAAAGCATGCAAGAAAAGTAAGTAGGAATGTCCCCCAAATATGGGAGGGCAAATTATGTTCTTTTTTTCATTCAGTATGTCAGAGGACTAGACAATTAACAAATAACAAAAAAGTGATGTAATTTTCATGTTTATGTTAAATGCTCCCAATATAGAATTATATATGCATGATTGGAATGAGAATGGAAAAAATAACCCTCTTGCTTTTAAAGTTGCATATGCTATCTCCCATTGACACTACATTATTTTCATCATATTGCATTGTAAGCATGAAATCATTCTCATTTCTTGTGAATAATATTTTCTGCAGAGTTCAACTTATAAAAGTGCTTGAGACCCGTAAAATGGTATTGCGGAAAGAACAGGGTATGGCCTTTGCACGTGCTGCGGCAGCTAGTTTTGATATGGATAATATGGTGGATCTGATACCATTTTCTGAAAACTTCGGTGCCTCACGTCTAAAGTAAGTTTGCCTCTGGTAAAATATATAAAATACTGCTTGTTTTAGACTTTAGTTATTTTAATTTCCTAGTTGACAGGTCAAATTGTAAGAATCATTCAGCAGTAGTAAAGAATTAGATAACTGGGATTATGATTGATGTTAAAATCTGGAATCTTTGGATTAAATGAGAAAAGGAAGAGTAATATGAGAGCATGAGACAAGTTAAGTAATCATTGTTTGAGAGGTTTTTTTCATCTTAGATATGTCCCTCATAGTTTTAATTTCTTCCACATTAACAAATAGGGAAGCATGCTTACGATTTATGGAGCTATGGAAAAAAAAGCATGATACTGGACAATGGCTTGAAGTTGAAGCTGCAGAAGCAATGTCAATTCGGTCGGAAGTTTCTGCTTTAAATGCCTCGGGCATTATGTTTGCTGCAGATTCTATAATGCAGAAAGATCATGGTGATTCCCGATCTGTCTCAGGTGGCGATATCGTTACAGGGAGCAATGGAAAAGCTGGTATATGTTCTGAATATGAAAGCTCAGATAATTCTGGATCTAAGTTTCTCATGAGAAAACATTCATTTGTAATCTTTGTTCTATACTAAAATATTCTCGTAATTTTATTTATTGTAATTCCATAATTAATAATGTAACATGCCTCCCAAAACCAATGCATGCATGAAGACAGCCAGAAACTGTATGCAAATTCTTGCATGATGCTATTTTTTTTCTAGGTTCACCCCCATTTCAGTTTTCTGTATATCCTTCACTGTAACTTAAGTACGTTTGCTTCTTCTGTTCAGACAAACAAATCCCTTCAGATTCAAAGGTGCCACTGGGACACCAGGAGCATTTTCATGGTGGTTTCCAGCATCCCACTTATCCACAGTGGCCTATGCATTCTCCAGCAGCTCCTCCAATGTTTCAACCTTATCCCATGCAAGGAATGCCTTATTATCAGAACTATCCAGGGAGCATGCCATATTATCATCCTCCATATCCTCCAATGGAGGATCCTAGATTCAATAGCTCTCACAGGAAGGGGTCGAAAAGGCAGTCAGTGGATAATAAAGATACTGAATCTGAGACCTGGGAAAGGAGTACACGTTCACAGGATAATTCAGATCAAAATACATCAGATCTCGAGGAAGAAGGTTCTCATGGTCATAAATCTCATAAAAGAGTTGGTCGGTCAGGAAAGAAAAAGTCTGGTGTTGAAGTCATTCACAACATTAATTACATCACATCTAAGAAGCATGTTGTAGGCGCATCGGAAAGTGACTCACAATCTGTCACTGAATCTGATGTTGGAGACGAAGATGTGCATTCTGATGCACGAGAAAGAAGGCACAAGCACTCTGTGAGGACTTCTAAGAAAGAAGATGGTCGAACAAAATCTGTAGAATATTCAGATGCCTCTGGCCATGATAAAGCTGCATATGAAGAGGAGGCAGATTCTGGAAATTGGCAAGCATTTCAGAATTTCTTACTAAGAGCTGAAGAAAAGTCGAGAACATTTGATGGAGACATGTTCACAGGAGAAAAAGAGCCTCGGTCGAAGAGAAAGCAGAGCAAAGGTGAAGCTGATCCTATTGTTCTTCCTGAGCGAGTTTATGGTGATTTTCATGACCAGAGGATGGTAGGCTTTGATTCAGTTAATGGGAAAGCAATTCGAATGAAGCAGGCAGCTTCTGATGATCAATTGCTGGTTTCAAGTAATGAAAGAGATTCAACATATGACCAGTTCAAGGAAATAGGAAGTGGTGGAGGAGCATATCGGCGGATGAGCAGTGATGAATTCATGATTCATGGGCAAGAAAAGCTACTCAGCTTTAAGAGTCCTTCTGACCCACTTGTTGATAATGTGGATGAGCATGATGGTGATGCAGTCAAGAGCTCCTCATACAACATAACAGATGAGTCCTTCTTGCTTCCTTATAGGTCAGGTTCACAGGATCCTGGATCAGACAGCATAATTGCTATTGACATGGATTCTGAGTTCCCCTCATCCCTTCAAAAAGCTAAGGATTCATATGATAAGGGAAAAAACCAACTTAGGTATGAACCGGATGATTTGTCCTTGGTTGCTGAACGTGGAATGGAAAGTGTATCTATAGGATATGATCCAGCAATGGACTATGAATTTCAGAGTCCTATTGAAAATGCTGTCAAGCAGGAAGCCAGTAACCAAGAGGTTCTCTCGGCGGTCACTAAAGAAGAATCAAAGAAATTAGAAAAGGGGAAAAACTTAAGAGCCTCAAATGATAGCATGGAGAAAAGGAGGAGAGATGCACTAGTGAAGAAAGGGACATCCTCAAGGCTTAACCAATTGACTGAAGCACAAAAGCGAGCAGACAAGCTGCGGTCTCACAAAATTGATCTACAAAAAATGAAGAAAGAAAGGGTACTTCTCATGATCGGTCCTACATTGATTGTCTGGATTATTTCATGAGTGTTAGTCTAATTGTTAATTAAAGAGGAAGTTAAACAAGAGTGGTTAGATGAATCCTGAAAAAATGAGCTTAGACTCCATATTATTTTAATTTCTTCCAAACAACATAAGACTGATTGTGTGTTCTCTTATTTTCTTTGTTAAATAATTCCTTCAATCTCTTTACCAGTCACAATTTGCTAGTTTTTGATCCTCGTAGGCTCAGATGTTAGTACCTTATTGGAAAAAGTCCGTAGCTTAAGTAAACAAAGATGGAGCACTCACAATCTTAGTCCTATTTTATGTTGTTCATATTAGTCTACTGTGAAATCTTTTCCTCTAATAGTTCACATTGGGCTTGAAATTGTGTTTCACATTTCTGAACAAGTATACTAAACATTGTAAGAAGGTATTATATACTGTAGTTCAGTCAACAATTAATGAGCTTTTAATTCTTTGTTGTAATGTTGTTGGTTTAGAAGTCTTGTAAATTGTCAAGTACAACTGTCGGAAAATTTCTCCCCTTCTAATCCCTTGCAATTTTACTTGAATGCTTGGCTGACTTTGTCGGTATTTCCACTTTTAGGAAGATGAAGAGAGAAAACGTCTCGAAGCTTTGAAAATAGAGAGGCAAAAGAGAATAGCTGCAAGAAGTAATTCCGCAGCCGCTAAGTCACCATCGACTCCACAGCATACAAAGACCCGTTCAGCCACAAAGCCTTCACCAAGTCCTTACAGAGGATCAAAGTTTAGTGATGCAGTGCCTGTTTCTTCACCTTTGCAAAAATTGCCTATTAGAAACTCTTCAAACGGATCCAGTGATGCTCAGAAATCTACACAATCTAGCAGAGTAAATGGCAGTAACCATGGGTTAACTCGATCAGCATCTTCATTACCTGAGGTTAGGAAAGAAAGTAATGGACTCATGCCAGAAGCAAAGACAGATTCTATTCGGATGAAAAGACTCTCTGATCCAAAAAGCAGTAATACTCACTGTGCTTCCTCAGTGAGGTCTGTAACTACAGACCAAGTACCTAAGAGAGGCGTACCTGATGACTCTCAGAAAAAGATTACTGCAATTATGCAACTGGACAAAAGCAAGTCAGCAACTCTGCCGGAGCTTAGAATTAAAACACCAAAAATGTCATCTGAAAGAGTTGAAAAGGAAACAACTAGCAAAGACACATTGCAGAAAGGGACTGGAAGCAAAGCTTCTCAGGTTTCTGATAGCATGAACAGAAAATCAACCAAGGAGAAGCCATCTAGCAGCTGCGACAAAAATCCAGTGATTGAGAAGACAGTTGTCTGCCTCAAAAATAATGTAGTCACTGCTCCTGTTGTCCGTGAATCCGATGATATGATAGACACAAAAGAGAGATCACATGGAGATGGTCTGGGTACAGGATATGCAGCTATTCATGCTCCACCTTCACCTATTGTTATAGTTCATTCTGGTGAAGGCAAGTCGAATAAACAGCTTAGTTCCTACGAGGTATATTTTATCAAAGAAAAGCTGCACATGTTTTAATTCGATAATGCAAAGATCACTAATTTAGTTGCTTGTATGAGTACTTTTCTGTTGCCAGCAAAATTATCTTCTTACACAACCTGTTTCTTAATGTCACTAGTGTTTGATAATTTTGATTGAGTTATTTCGAAAGCAAATAGCTATCTGTATTTAGTTCATTTCAGATTTCAATGTTTGCTCCTGTAATGTTGATGGTGCTATCTAGTGCTTCTCTTTAGCCCATCGATCTTAGGTGAGCTACTTGTGGAATCAATAGCACTTAAACCAACTTGCGTGAATCCATTTGGTTATGCATCCAAGTACATATATTTTCTTGACCAAGAAGAAAAAAGATACAAGCTTTCTGCTCTCAGTTTTTGCTTAGAGCACTTTGATCTTTCATAGATTAAGTTTCCATCTTCATTTCTAAACAATTGCTACTTGTAGGCTGATTATGGATAAATGTTTGTCATGCTAATCAGGTGGTTGTTCCGTACTCGAGCAATGAGCCTCAGCCCTCAAACTTGAGTGCAACAGAAAAACCTTATCAAGCCCCTTATGCCAGATTATCATCATTGGATGATCCTGTTACCGGTAATTTAGGATGTGAAGGAGGTGTACCTGCATCTGCATCAGTGTCTGAAGTGGCTGCAGTACATGCTGCTAGTGCTACAATACATGTATCCAGTTTGGAGATTTCAAATTCAGGGGATTATACACATGAGAAGCCATGGAGCAAGGAATTGAAAGGTTTCAGAAAGTTGTTGAAATTTGGTCGAAAGAGCCACGGCTTAGCTTCAGGCGATGGTGACCTTGATGCAGATGCTTCATCTGTTGATGATCAAACAGTTGCTGCTGCTACGTCCAATGATGGTATGATCTCAGCTATCACCAACTGAAGTTTGTTCATCATTTTTGGACTAGCATGTTGGTTTATTTGCTCTGAATTCACCTAATCAAGAAAAAGATTTATCGACCTTGATTACATTTTTAACCTTAGCTAATTCTATAAAGATTCTTGCCACAGCAAGTAGTTCACTTTCCTACTATTTGTCTGCAATTACATGAATATTTGGAAACTATATTTATGAGTTTGCTAGTAAGAACAAAACTAGTCTGATATTGCTGTGTTACAGTCTTCACTGGAACTATAGAGAAGTGATTGAAACAGTACATTTTTCTTTCTGCTTCTTGAATTCTTCACTTTCATGTTTCTGTGGTTGCCTCCTTCACAAACTACCTCCAAGAAAATAACTACCAAACTTGGAAGTTCATCAGGCATTACCACAGGCATATCTGAAGCACTCTTCTTTAATGATATGTGCATCTGATAGGTCTTCATGTATTTTTCTGTTCATACACTGAAGAATCTCATGTCTCTCGATGATTCTTTCATGTTGGAGGCACATCAACTTAGTGAGTCTGATGTAGCTAAACAGTCCAGAATTAGCATGAAATGAACTGAGAGTTCTCAATACTTTCTGGCCAAAATCTTCTTTTCTGCCTTTTTCTCCTAATAGGAACAGCTATCTGCTTGGATTTTATTTTATCTCGACAGGGGTTTCTAAAAGATTAAATTTGCTGCTACAGTTTTTCGTCCGTTCTCCCTCCTTACGCCCTTCCGTAGTAAGAACAGCGAGAAGAAACTGGCAGCATGACAAGCATGACGAGCGATGTTCTCCAAATTTTGTCAAGCACGACGAGAAAGATAAATCAAGCTGAGGAAGATGAATCTGCTTCTGTCAAGTAAATAGTATGTGTGGGATGAGATATTTTGGGTTTCCAAATTAGCCATACACCATTGTTTTGCAACCATAGTGTAAGATTTGTGTTGTTCCTCACCTGTTCATATCATTGTTGGTCCATTTTGGTGCCTTCGTTTGTAAAATAATAGTTCATGTGGTTGGATAATTGATGCAAACTTATATCTTGAAGTACTCGATTTGTAATGTGATCTATATCGAGAAGCAATTTGCTTAGTGTATCAGATTTAGGATGTCTTCGTGTGGTTATTTGTGATGAGATGAGATATGATGTCAGGTTCACGTAATATGGAAATGCTTCGAATCACCCGCTCGCCTACCAGTCTTGTTGGTGGAAATAAAGCCGGGGCCGCGTGGGACCCACTTTTTCCTGAGAAATCACTGCGCTCAAACAAAAAGTCAGGTATTCCAGTGGGTATGGAAAGTGTATTGCCTAAGAAGCGAGGCCCAATAATCTGATTAGGCCCATTAGCTTACGAGGCTGACTTTATTAGGCCCAACTTTACCAAGGCTCACATTTCCGGCCCAATTGAACAGATTAGAGTTTTACGCCGACCGGGTTAGGGTTTCCAATGTTGTTGTAGAGCCGCCTCGTCTTTAAGCCAGCCTCTCCCTCCGGCTGCCAGAGAGTGGGAATCGGAGATCGCGAAGAATCTTTCGAAGCCATGGTACTGTCCATTCTCCTCTTCTCTTCGATTCGTTCCGTTTTGTCGTAATGGGCTACTAATCTGATGTTGTTCCCTTGGATCAGGTGAAGTATTCGAGAGAGCCTTCTAACCCTACCAAGTGTAAGTGGCTTCCTAGTTGTTCGTTCAGATTGGAGTCTATGTTCTGGTTTTGTTCGATCCCCTCCGATGTTTAGAGTTCTGCTGTTGTCAGTATCTGATGTTTCTTGGAAAAGCCGAAAAAAAAGATCTTTTGGGTTATATTTGATCCAAACTTCAAGCTATATTCTGAGCCCAAGATGTAGTTTTTCCCCTATCTCCCGCGGTTTGGTAACGATTTGGATCTACGGTCTTCATCGTCGCTTGTTTCTGTTGGTGATGGTGCAAATGTCTTCTCGAACTTTCGATGTGGTCGTCGCCACCTTGTGTATGATTGTCATTCCTTTTGATCGAGCTCATATTTGTTTGGTGTCTGCAGCTGCCAAGGCCATGGGTCATGATTTGAGGGTTCACTTTAAGGTGCGATATTAGTCATTATTGTACGTGTACTTATTCATTGGTAGTTTAGATTGTTTTTGTTTTGTGTGTTTTGTTGTTTGTTTGTGCATCTGTGCAAAGTCAGGGACTATTATTAAGGCTGCTAAATTAGCACTACAAGCAATAGATGTTCGTGATATGTAAATTAATGTGCCTCATGTATAGAGTATTGAGAGTTCTTTGAGAAAGGAAAACCTTTCAGAATCCTTGGTAAATAATTGAACTTTGACAGTTAGGCTGAACACTTAAATTACTGACTTGGTCGCGTCAATAGGTAAAATATGTATTTCTAAACTTAAGTGACAGTGGGATTAATTACATAGAACACTTAGGGGGCAGTAAAAACATGTTTTTACCTGATTGAGGATGTAGGGTTATTATAATTTTTGGTATCTTAGATCTTCAGAAAAATTTCCATTGTAGTTTTTGGTTGATTTGGTTTTTGTCATTGTATTTAAGCCTTTATGATGCATGATTTGTATTATTCGAATTTCTATATTCTAGTATTTATATTTTTTAAAATAATAACAGTCGTGTTGCATGTCTATCTGTCACTTGATTTTCATTTACTTGGCTTAGAAAGTCTAACCACTTGCAATATCACTGGTAACTCAATGTTAAGTGAATTAAATTTATGTAAATATATAACAAAGAAGATAACAGGGAGTTTTTCTTGTCAGGAAGATGCTATATAAACATTCCAATAAAAGTCTGATTTCAGAACTGTTCATTTTATTACTAAGTTAAATCTATCATTTTTAGCGTACTGGTGAAGGTTATATTTTGTTAAGTATGGAGAGATATTAAACATGATATAGTTTAGTTTAACTCCTAGTTCTACCATAGACTCTTGTTTCAGTCTTCTGTTCTATGAATCTGTTGCATTTCGGTCAAAATTATATGCTTCAGTTCCAATGGTTAATATGTTTATTTCTGACACTGGATGATAAATTATGATAGTTAACTGATGGTTTATTAAGTCCAACATCAAATTAGTTCTTACTATCTATCGTATGATATTTGATTGTGTTTGATCATTTTCTGATAAATAAGGTTACAGTAGTTAATACCTGTGCTTTATGTTTGAGTATTTGCATATATCTATGAATAATCTTATGGTTGGAAGAACTAGATGTTCCAATGAGTATTTGCACATATCTATGACTAAATGGTTGATATGTGCAAATGAGTATTTGCACATATCATCGTAAAAATCATTTTCAATGACCTAAAATTAATTTTCAGAATGCTCTGGTCTTTTTTCACCAAGATGAAAGTGGACACGTAGATGGGGCCTTCTAGAATTCATATCTATGGACGAAAATGTGGTCTAATAGTGAAGTACTAAACTTTCTTGAAATTTTCTCTTGTAGTTTGTTCACATATTCATCAGCCTAGTGAATTCCTTGGTTGTTTATTTTAATTTTTTTAGGATGAAAATTCAGTGGGGTTTGCTTCTGGTCCCTCTGGTTTTTTTTAGTTAAATCATACGTGTAAGCATGTTTCTGATATGCGATCTTGTAAGTACTAATTACATATTTTGGTATGTATTTTAGCTGTTTGATAGGGATGGATAATCGGGAAACTTTTTTTTTTACTTAAGTAGATTTGTAATGCCATCGAAAAGAAATTTCAACTGCATTATGGTGCTTTTATATCGGCAGACAAGCCAGTTGTTTACCCTTGAATTTTGCTATATGATAAGATATTATATTCTAATATTCTGCATAGGTATTATAGCATATACAAGTTTCATTATGACTGCCTGATGTACGTGCTCAAATGATGTAATGATGTCAACAGAATACTCGTGAGACAGCTCATGCGATTAGAAAGCTACCCTTGTCAAAGGCCAAAAGGTACCTTGAAGATGTAATAGCTCACAAGCAGGCTATTCCCTTTCGGAGGTTTTGTGGTGGTGTAGGACGTACAGCTCAAGCTAAGGGCCGGCACCCAAATGGGCAGGGCCGGTGGCCTGCGAAATCAGCCAGGTTCATTTTGGATCTTCTCAAGGGCGCCAAAAGCAATGCTGAGGTATGAAGAGATGCAACCAATTTTTCCATCTTCAGTGCTTCGCTTCCATTGCTTAATTGTTCTTGTCCATTTCTCTTATTTAGGTGAAAGGTTTGGATGTTGATGCTCTCTTCATATCACACATCCAAGTGAACCAAGCACCAAAGCAGAGGCGCAGGACTTACCGCGCCCACGGTCGAATCAACCGTAAGTCTCACTTATTGAGCTAATGTTTCAGGTTATTTTTTGTTTGGAAATGATATTTTTTATTTATGTCTTGGCAGCTTATATGTCCTCCCCGTGTCACATTGAACTGATCTTGTCAGAAAAGGAAGAGCCTGTCAAGAAAGAGGTAATTGCTTGGGCTACTTTGCTAACTTCTAAATGGAAAATTAATGGGAAATTTTGCTGCTTGGATGCCCGATTCAGATTGGCTTATGCATTGTTTAGAATTGGCACATTTTTTTGGTATTGTCTAATGGATTTGTATTCATTGCATCATTCATAATTCTTGACTGGTCTCAGCCCCTCTGCCTGCACTTTTTCTTTCTTTGCTTTGCTTTCTCTGCTGCCGATTCAAACTCCTGTCATAATTGCCTTCTTTTGTTGATTTGCTGCTGTATGGATTCTTACTGTGCTGCTATTGTCATCGCTGAAAGTGATGTATCGCACTGTTATGGCTATACGTGTATTGGTTCTGCTTTCTTCTCGCCCTTTTGTTTCACTGTTATGCCTTTGCCAATGGATACTTCTCGGCTTCTCTCTCTTGATGAGCAAAAATCTGTTTGCTTCATTGTGGCTTGATCTTGTTGCTCCCACCTCTTTCTCAGTCATCTTTCAGCCTAAGCTCTAAAAGACTTGTACTATCTGTTTTTATGCTTGTTTATTATTTGATCTTAGTCTTGTTCTTACCTTCTGTTGTGGTGTTAATGCTGCAGCCGGAGACCCAGATTGCTCCCAGTAAGCCCAAGAAAGCTTGAGCAATTGATTAGAAGTGGAACAACTTCTCAGGCAGAAGTTTTGTGAAAGATACTCTCATTTGATGTTTGAATTTGCAGTTTACTTTCTTTCATTGTGGTGTTGAACGTGTCTTCATGAGTCTTTGGTGAACATTCCGGTTGTTTTGTTCAATGCAGAAAATATTTTGAAGGATTTAATGATTCTCTCTCTCTCTCTCTCTCTCTCCATTGTATCAGCTTATCGATACAGTAACATTGATGATGAAACACTACTAGTCGCTCCTGCATCAACAGTTTACAGTTAAAACATCAACAATGAGGGCCGCAATATGTCACCTCCAGCCCGTGGAGACGAATCATTCTTCCTGGACCCATGCCAGCCCCATGCACGCCATTATTCCCGTCCATGATGTTGCTGGGAATCACAGCCAAGACGTTCGAGATCTGCAATGGCGGATGCCGACGTTGGCGCTCCTTTTGCAGCCACCCGATGCATGACTTCCGACCGACGACCACCACTTGTCCACGTGCGGCCGCTGTCACGCTCTTCTCTGCACCTGCCATCGAGGCTTGTGCTCGTGAGCTGGTGACGCAGCTCCCACGAGAGAGACTTCGCCAACTTGGAAGTCATTGATTAGATTAGCTTGTAGCTCCATAATTTAGTTCAGTAGATCTCCTCCTCCTTGCTAAATCCCAACCATTTCAGACGGCCTTTGTACAACATTCGAAGCACTAAATCCTGTAAATGTCAGAAGATCCACTTCCTTGTCCTGTTGCCAGCATCTCGTTTGATGTATTCTACGCTCCATCCTTGTAGTTTCTTACCTGTTCATTCTTTAATCTGCCTGCTGGGGTGCGGTCCTGTGATCCCAACAGAAGCAGGCGTCTTTGTCCGTCTTCTCTTTGGAATAAGCTCTCTCTCCACAGATGCGTTCGAGCTTCGCTTTCAGCCGGATCAGCTTAAACAATGCTTGCAGACAACCCTTTACCACTCTCCCAAGTCACCAACACGATCTTTTGCTGAACCCAAGCTCTTCTCGGCTACATCGGGCAAATATTTTAGTCCTGCAACAGCAGCAGATCTCCTTGTAGTGAATTATTGATGGCAGCCTCTCGAGCACGGTTAGCGTGGATGATCCGTCCATCCTCGGTGCCTGAGACACTGATACGATGGCGACCTTGCGGTGTTGTATGTGCAGGTCGAAGATCTCTTTCTCGAGGGCCGGTGTGCAGGATTAGCAGTAGCTCCTCATGTGTTCGTCATGCAAGTAGCCATCTTCATTGAAGTGAATTGTAGGATTACAGAGCTAAACGTTCTAAATTGTCACCATCTTCATCTGTGAACCAAATATTTGGCTTTTGGATCTGCCCCTGTTAAGAAAATATTTAGATCCATGCTTCTTGTCAGCAGCGATGGCTGATGCAAAACCTATCCGATTCATAGTTTGCTAGCCGGTAATTTTCTTAGATCGATACAAAAACTTGTGTTCTTTCCACGTGAACAAAGGGGCCCTAATCAAAGTTCTACGGTTGTTGTACAGTACACATGCTTGCATTAATCAATGCAAATGATTCGTTCTACTGATGGAGACGAGGACGCGGATACTTTTTGTCTTCTTTGCTTCTGGTGACGAGGAGCTAATCAGAGAACACAAGCGGGGGGTGATTTCCGCTGTCCATGGTGATGACGATGACGATGATGATGATGATGCTGTCACGGAATGATTGAGATGATTATGATTGGGGAGCCGGCGACATCGCGGCCGCCGAGTAACACATGTCAGCAGAAGAGGGTTGGCCGACCTGCCGGCAGTGTCCGCCATCTGCGGTTGCTGCAAGAAAGGGAGGACGGAGCCGTCACTCTTTGTACAAAGCCTTAAGCTTCGTGAGCTTTCAACGGCATGGCGAAACGCGGGAAGAGTTCCCAATCATAGAGCTTAATAATTGCATCTCGTTTCCTTTTCCAGGTGTTCTTCCTCAAAGACCACCACTGCCTTCTCCTCCCTCCACACCCAAACTGATGGAGGGCTGAGACACAGCTCACCGATGGGGCCTCCCGATGAAGACAAACTGCCCCTCTTGCGCAGTACTCTAATGGTTTCCACCAGCCAATGAGAACACCTGTAAGAAACAATCCTTTTTCACGCTGCACATACTGGATCTCGACTCCACCAACAGTTTTCTAGCTTCTTCTCGATCTTCCTGCAAAAGATCTTTTGCTGCGATGCCAGAAAACTCCATGTCCCCTTCACCAGGCTGTGGTAACACCACGATTCATTGTGTCTGCAAGGGACAAACTCGGAGTAGCACAACCTCATCTGGATGCCGCCGATGAGACCACACCTTGGACAAGTCTACTTCATGGCTCTTTGTCTTCTTGCTTCCGAGTCTGGTCCCAAAAGCAACGTGATTTTGCAATTGGAAGTGGGAGCCTTTGATGAATCCACATCTGATTTCACTCTGGATGACAGCAAAATGCAATGTGTTAATAGTATTTGCAGGTTGGTCATACAAATGTCAGGACCTAAGTGATCCCATTAACTCACCCTTTGGACACATGTTGGCCCCCATATGGGTGCGAGCGTAGTGTTCCTTTCGCATTTCCTTTCCCGTTGGTTCAGATTTCATAGGAAGGGAAAGCTCTATCATACGTTGTCGGCTCATGGAAATGTCGAGACCCCTATCCACGTAACCTTTTCATGGTAAGATAGTATTGTTTATAAGGTGATCATATTTTACTCGAGAGGAATATATTCCCATACCACATCATTTATGGAATGATTTTATGTTGTTCCTTGTACTTGTATTTATAAATTTATTTCTTTTTCTCCTTGTGATTCTTTTTTAATTTTCTCTTTTTTTTCTTGTAACACCTTAGTTAGTTCCACATCAAAAATAAATAAAATTAAAATTTATCTGATGAATGTATTATTATCAATTTCAACTTAAATGTTTTGATAAGTGGTTTGGACTTAATGATATTTGGTATTAAAGCTAACATATTATTAAGACATGATGAGACTCGATAGGAAAATTTATTTGTGGATACGGTTTTATCCTTTTGGAGCATGTGAGTTCTAAAAAACATTTTTATAGGTAAGAGAGACTCAACGGACTTATGATCTCTTAGTTTCCATACTCTTCAACCAATGTGAGACTAAATGATCTTATCAGTACTCCCTCCCGTAGGGGGAGCCAAGGACTCATAGCTAAGGTACACGACTCGGGTGCTAGTTTGCTCGACCGAGGTACAAGCCTCGAGATACTCCTCAATCAATGTAAAACTAAATGACATTATCAGTATGTAAACTTTTGATGAGTCCTACGTAAATTAATTTATGAGGATTTAATTGATGTATTACTATCAATTTTAACTTAATTATTTTAATCGATTATCCCTTGAATATAAATCTAGGATGGCCTATTTTTTCTAAATAAAGATACAGTATTGTTATATGATTTGAATTGATAAACTAAGTAACATGAATATTTATGTACTTTCTACAACAATAACAACAATATTCATGTACTTCTACAACAGTAAAAGAAAAAATAATTCATCTATTTTCGGAGTCCTAAATTGATGTATGCGTTCTTGAAGTCTAACAAAAGAAAGAAAGACTAATCGACTGCCTACGATTGGAGTGCTGCAAAACCTAAATGGGCAGACAGCAGACTTGTTTAGGTAGAACCGAAGAGTTCGTACAGATGACTGGCCACTGCTCCCGTATCACTCTGGCGAAATGAATCGAATCGAACAACAACGCATGAAGATCCATCAAATCTTTCACACTGCAAAACATGTTATTATTGTGCCTGCAAGTTCAGATCAGTACCTGTAGCTTGTGCAGATCGAATAGAACAAGCGAAAGAGACCCCACTCCACGCGTCGCCATGAATAATTATACGCGACGATGCCGCCTTGTCCAATCACTGCCCCATGCCAACTTGTCATCATCAGAATTATTTCTCGTACGTAAGCTCATTCTGCAGTTAAGCATGGAGTCGGAGAGCCTTATGGAGATTTCTTGTTACCGCGGTCTTCTCTGGTTCTTCGGCACAAGCATCGGTCCCTCGACATAGTTATCGGAGATTGCGACGGCTGTACACGCTGCTTCTGTGGATGATAGACGCGAGAATCCAATTCGTAGGGGCAGCTTTCATGGTTGAACTAGCCATTTAATGCACCCATCTTCTATATAAATCCCCCCCCTCCCCGGCCTCCTGCTCCCGGGAATTCAAGCTCTCGTAGGATGTCCGCATCCTCAAGCCTGGATCAGATCTCTTTGAGCAGCTCAAACACCCTATTCTTCGAGAGAGTGTTCAGGTGTACGGATAGAATGGGATTGAGAGACATAGAATCCACGCTGCCACCGGGGTTCAGGTTCTACCCGAGCGATGAGGAGTTGGTCTGCCATTACCTCTACCAGAAGGTGACCGATGGATTTAGAACCTCGGAGGGGACGATGGTAGAGGTGGATTTGCACACTTGTGAACCATGGGAGCTTCCAGGTGATTCGATTAATCTCATTCCTTTTTAGCTCTCATATCATATTAGGTTCCTTGAAACTGATGCATTGCATCATATGTTGGGATGATCTATTAGAACATGAACTTCTTTTTCGCCCTCTTTACAAGAGTTTCGGTTGTTTGCTTTCACCTAATATGCCCCATGACTCGTTAGGTCACCACTGCTGTAGATGTTGTTTCATGGAAGCTCTATGTGATGTGAAGCTTTGGTCGAAACATGCATAGATGCTTAGCCAAAGATGTTTGTTTCATACAAGTCAAAATTTTAGGGTTGCTTTGAAATCTAAAATCTTGCTCGATGGATGATAGATGTGGCTAAACTGAGTGCCAACGAGTGGTACTTCTTCAGCTTTCGCGACCGCAAATACGCTACGGGATCGCGAACAAACCGAGCAACCAAATCTGGCTACTGGAAAGCCACCGGGAAGGATAGGACGATCTGTGATCCAAGGACACAGGCAATGGTTGGGATGAGGAAGACGCTGGTGTTCTATCGAGGTAGAGCTCCGAATGGAGTGAAGAGCGGCTGGGTCATGCACGAGTTCCGATTAGAGACCCCCCATTCACCTTCCAAGGTATCAGATCCACCATTTGCAATTCTTCTCTTCCACATACATACTCGCTGCAACAACACACGACAAGGACTCCTAACACAATCGATGACATATAGC